TCAGCAAGCTAAAAGTAAAGTGAGCAGAGAAGCGAGTTGCGAATAAGCAAGCTATAAGTTTAATTGTGTTAACAAGTTCAGTAAAGCGTTGTAATTGCTTTAACAAGTATTGTAGTATTTTTACTGTATTAGCAAGTATTGTAAAATTGTTTGTTGTACAATAAAGTTAATTGTACTACCATTTGGTCATCGTTAGCCTTTATTTAAGAATCCAGCGATACGAACCGGAAGATTTGGGAAATCCGGACGAGGTTTCAAGGATAATCGTAACAATACATATGTGGTAGAGGTTCGCACACTAGGGTGGTCCAAAAATGCATGTGAAAAGGTAAAGTCGGAATTTTTATGCTCTCACCAGCTAGGATTGTTCTATACCGAAAAAAGTATACCCTTGTTTTTTATTTTGAAATAAAAAAATATTTAGATGTCGCTCAAAGCGCCCAAAGTTTTCCATGTATTTTATATGGGGAAAAAACGACTTTTCGTAGAAATGGTATAGAATAGTTAAAAATCTATATTTTTCTACCAGAAAACTCTGCTTATCTTCAACAGATTCCCAGTAATAATACCTAATTGTTTATTTGACCATTTTTTCATTGCAACTATAATTTATAAGTCCGCCAAAAACCCACAAAACCCCGAAAAATGCAATGGGCAACCAATAAAAAATCGTTTGTATTAAAAATGGTTAAATAGACAATTGTGTATTACTATTGAAAGTCTCCTGAAGAGAACCAGAGTTTTTCGGTCGAAAAATATTGACTTTCAAGAATTCTATACCATTTCTACGAAAATATATAATATAAAAATATATGGAAAACCCTGAGCGCTTTGAGCGACCTCTAAATGTTTTTTGATTTCGAAATAAAAAAATAGGGGTATACTTTTTTTCGATATAGAACAAATTGGCACGTAGCCAGCGGGGGGGCTCGGGGGGGCTCAAGCCTCCCTCCCACCGAAATTCTAAAAAATTATGTTTTTGTAACCCACAATACAAAGAAGAAACTACGAAAATTAAAGTTTTGTTTATTATATTATGTATGTTATTTCCATACAATTTATTTTCTTATTTCCTTTATTGTTTTACTTATTATCACGATCATCATTATTATCATCATTATCACCACAAGAGATATACTACACTGACATAAAAGTTGCTTGAAATTTCACGGGATCTGGTGGTAAGTCGAGATTTGTGCATTTATTTTGAATTAATAGTGAATAAATATGTTTCTATAAGCACTATTGTAGAACATTACCTGTCCGCTGATTAATATTTCCTATTTACTGGCAAATTTATACTATGCTTTCGAGTAAAATTTCACTGAACGTCTTGTCAATTTCAGGGGTGGTCAAAACCGTGCCTACTTTACCGCCCTGTCCATTAAAATTTCTTTGTATGCTTTTTTGCCAGTATAGAAATGGCTAAGTGGAAGATCGACCTATCTCGGCAGCCAGTTCGGAAACGCTCTATCTCAGAAAACTTTTCAAGAACGCCCTACTTCAGAATTTAACTGAAGAACGCCTTATTCAGAATTTTATTGAAAAACACCCTATCTCAGAATTTGGTTGAAGAACGCCCTATCTCAAACGAAAATGTATTGAAAATGTGCTGATATAGGGCGTTTTTGACACATATGTAGTACTCCTATATTGGCAGTAAGAGCTAGTACCGTCCGAAAACACTACAGGACAGATATATCAATAAACACGTACGAAAGAAAAGGAACGCATACGTTTATAAATAAACATGTACACGACACATTTACAAAACCGGCACTCACCCACTAGAACCTGAAGGGAGATCTCCCTAAGTGAGGAATAAAAGAGTACTCCCCTTAACCTGATTTCTGAGCAATAAGGGAGATATGTCGGTTTTGTTCTCCTTTATTACTCGTTTAGAATTAAAAAGTGATGTCTCCTAAGCGAGAAATCCAAGAGTCTTCTTTTTGATTGATAGGAGAGCAATACGAACCTCGTTCAAAAGAAATTTTGCGTTTTCGAAAAAATTTATCATAGAAAAAAAAACCTACAGAAAATATTTCTTATAGGCGCATAAGGAGGACACAATAATCTAATTTGGATAGCACACAGATTTTAGTAAAAGTCCGTTGGTATGTACCTCAACTTTTGTTTAAATATTTTAAGCATTGTATTATTACAAATATACCGTTAAATACTTTTCAGATTTCGCAAATTAGTGTTTGCATTGAAGTGTGACACCCGTGTTTAAATATCGCATGGGTGACAAAGATGTCAGATAAGAAAATTCACCTTCACAATTTCCCCGCTTGGTGGATTCCTGACCAGGCAAGCATTCTTGACAACCAGGAAATCATATACGAGTACATACTTATATGTGCATATCTTATCTTACCGTTTTGTTATTATTACGTTTTACTTTCATATGATTTCTCTGCAATATAATTGTAAAATTAAGCAATTATGTAAGACGTATCATTGTTAAAGTTAGCACAAATGCACGTGATTAAGAAGTTAAATAAAAAATTTAATAAATAGCAAAATCTATTTGGCTAATTTAAAATGTTCGTTATCATTGCTCTCTTATTACTCCTATAGGAGGCTTTCGGGATGCCTCTAATGGGAGCACTCCCTTATTGCTCGTTCGGGAGGTATATGGGATGTTTCCTATGTGCACTCCCTTGTTGTCTTTTTGGGAGGTTTCTGGGAGGTAACTATGGGAGTACTCCCGTATTGCTCCATTAGAAGGTTTGTGGGATGACAATTCTGTGTGTGCTCCCCGATTGCTCGTTTAGGAGGTAAAAGGGATTACTCCCCCTCCTAGGACATCCAATGTTAAAGGGAGTATACAAAATTACATGCTTATACACAGAAGCATAGGGAGCAATGGGGAGTATTCGTATACTCCCAAGGGAGTACTCACCGAGCAATCGTACGATGCTCCCAAGTTCTATTGGGCAAGTACACAATACATTGACAAAAACAGTACTAGACTGTCTCGCTTTGATTTCGGAATGCTTACACATTGAGATGTTAGCTTACTATCAATATAGAAGTTAGTTATATGGTTTTTGAATCGGCGGCTGAGATAGGGCGTTCTTCATCAAAATTCTGAGATAGGGTGTTTTTCAATAAAATTCTGAAATAAGGCGTTGTTGAAACATTTTTTGAGATAGGGCGTTTTCGAACTGGCTGCCGAGATAGGTCGATCTTCGACTCAGCCATCGATATGTTGTCGAAAATAACTATTTCAAATACGATTTCTTTAAAACTGATGATAATTGACAATAGGTAGAAATATAACGCATAACTCTTTAGTAATATTTTAAATATCCCGCCACTATTAGAAAATCAACTGCTGTATATACAAGGAAGCACAGTCAAGTGCATTGTTTACGTTTTGACAGCTGTGCGATATTTGAATGTTAAACACTTGAAGTTTTAACTGCGATCAATTTGAATCGTTTTGTACATGAGCAAAACCAAAACCAGGGCCCTTACTCTGTAGTTCGAGTCGAAAGGTTGTTCTATTCGAAAGCCAAATTCGAATGGAAGCCCCATTCGTACTCCATAGTTCGTTCGAATCAACTTTCGAAGATATTCGAAAAAAGAGAGCAACACTGTTCGCCAAATGTCAAACGCAAAGCAAAATAAAGAAAGAAACTAAAATCAAAACAAGATGAAATTGCTAACATTTCGATTGTGAAGTTTGTGCACTTAAGAACTCAGTAATTGTTGTGTTAAATATATTTAACATTAGTGAAAGTCCTTGATAAAAAAAATTACCAAATGGATTCAGTGGCGATATGGTTGGAAGCAGATGAAGGCCAAGTGGCGGAACGAGTGCAATTGAGAGCGCTTAGGGATAAGGCCAACATATTCACTCTCAATGATAAATGGTAAAAGGATTGCTTGATTCCCTTTACAGTTTCGCGCAAACAAACAGGCGTTTCAGTACGTACTAAATGCCATTACGCCGGAGTTAAGCACTCCTCGAAAATCCACAGCAATTCCGCC